GGGGGAGAGGGAGAGACGGAGAGAAGCTATTTTTTGCTTTCCTTTCAGTAGAAAGGAAAATAAAGCGTGCATTCCCCTTCCATCCTGATGTGTAGGGTCTAGTGAATATTTTAACTGTCTGAGGACAAATTAGTCTAGGTGGATCTTGTTGAAAAGTTTCGCGAGGTGGGGTGGAGGTGGAGGGGGGGGCACGAAGGGGAAGGTGGGTGGAGGTTGTGGGGGATGGGGACAGAGCGAGCTCTGCCTCTGCTAATGGTCATTGGCCTGGGGCTTTGAAACCATTGCCTGTCCTGCTAATGACACGTCCAGTTCTCGTCTCCTGGCCGCGGACGCCGGGCTTCGGGGGACTGGGGTACTTTCCCCGCGCTGGGAGGGGCGTTCTTCGTCATCCCCTGGGGTTGCCCACTCGCGGCGTGGGGGCCTCACGCGCGCCCCCTCTCCTGTGCGCCGCTGCCACCTCTGCTCGCGCGACTTCTGTAGACTGTCCGCGGCGAGGGGGCGCGGGGGTCCCCGGCGCGGATGTCCCCGCGCAGCCACCCGGTGACCGGCCCCACGCGCGCTGTGCGGTCCAAGCCCAGAATGGCAACGCCGGGCCGGGCGGCGGTGCCTCCCTGGGGGGCAGCGGAGGCAGCGGTGGTGGCGGCGGGATCTTCACCGGGGCCCGCGGGAGGAGGAGGGGGAGGAGGAGGAAGAGGAGAGGGAGGCGTTTTCTGCCCAGACCGCCGCCAGTTCGAGCGGGCACGGGTATGGGGACACCCCACTCGTTGCTCCTCCGTTATGGAAAGGTGTTTCACAGACTTTTACGCCCGGAGTGTGGGATTTGCACTTCATTTTTTCTCTCTCCCCTTTTCCCCAAAGCAAGATGGACTCTATTCCCTTTCTCTTTCTCCCTCTGCCTCTGTCTTGTCAGCCTTTAAGATCGACATTTTGTACTAAGATGCAAACTTGATGGTGACCAGCAACAAAGGCGGGGTGGGATCTCTTGCTCCCTTCCTCCCTCTCCATTTCCTAGCTCCCCCCACTCCGACCTGGAAGACCTGGTGGCCCTGCACTTGCCGCGGGGGGCTGTGGTGAATGTGCTTCTCAGCTCGGTTCCGATCTCCAATCTCAGGATTTTGACCAGAGCTGGCGTTTGGGCGACGGCTGTGGCAGCCCAGGTCCGCAAGGCTGAGCGCTGCGATACCTGGACCCACTGCCATCGCTGTGCTACCTCCGGCTGGCTCCTGGGCACGTTGGAGGCTCAGGCTGCCTATCGATTGCTATGCTTTGGTTACTGGTGTATTTGTCCTGGGGGCAGCGATCACTTGTGCAAGTTGATGAATGATCGCGGTGTGGGTTTTGGGTTTGCGGAATGGATCAACTTTCTGCTTTGTACATATGGGGAGTAGGAAGAGTGGGTGCTCGAGATACCCTGGAATGCCAGCTGGGCTACCCTGAGCTTCTGCCATTTGAATACAGGGAGCTTTGCCTTTATTGCCCCACAGTTCGCTCATGGGGCTAGGGGTGAAGAGAGGGGAGAAGTTGGTGGGGAGCTGGACTCCTGGGTTTCAGGATCCTTCATAGATGTTGCAGGAGTTGGGACTCTATTGTAAAGCTCTACTCTACTGATGATGTACCTTTGTTTGATACTTTATAGGTCACTATCATATGACAAGGGCTTTGCCGCAGTTCATCTTCTTCCCTTTGTACTTTCCATTTGCCTTCCTGGGTAAGTATGCAAACTCTTCATACAGGAAACCTGGATAGCTGTTAGTAATAACATAAGGGTCCTTACTGTTTACAAAAGAAGATGCTTTATTGGGGTTACAACACCCCAGAAAGCTTGTCTCACTGAGTTTCCCACAGCAGAAGCCAATTTAGGATTCTTTAGTATTTAGATTTCAGCGGCCATTATTATTATTTTAAGATAGTTTAAATGTTCATTTCACGGTTATCTGCAAGTAAGTGTCATTTGAAAACTTACTTTCAAATAGGCATTTTAATTGATAGTGCAGTTTTACAGAGTTGAAGGCCTAGGCCATTTAATGCTAGATAATATTATAGAAAGATTGCAGCTTATGAGCGGAGAGAATTATTAAAAATCCAAAGAGGCATTGTGCAGAAAGCCTAATTATAGCGACTGACATTTGCTTACTCTTTCCTAGGCGCTCTTTCTTGAGTAACTTGTGCTGTTTGTGACAGTCACTTTTGTGGTGGGAAAGGGTGTACTGGGCAGTGTAGTAAATCTGGCATTTAGAATACCAACTTGATTCAAAAGGCAAATTAATGGGTCCAAATCGATCATAGTTTCTTTCAAAATTTATGTATTTGGAGAAATTGGGTACATTTTAACAGTATGTATAGGCAATAACCAGTGAATTTGAAATGCATTAAGTGCCTTTTTTCAGTATATGTCTATGTCTCCCAAATGGAAAATCCGTGAAATAGTGTAGGGGACAGCAAGAGCCTGAAGAGTTTGTGAGAAGTAACGATCTAGGTGAAAACTGAGGATTTGTAGAACATTTGAAAGCATCACTGTGAGCCCAACCTGCAGAAAACCAACTTGAAATCTTGCCCCTCCATTGTAAGGAATTTCTCAGGTACTCGTAAGTTGCTGATACCTTAAGAAAACTGGTTGTACTAAATTGTGTAAATCAGCTGTGGTACTTCGTAATATTACCATAGTGAAGATGGAGATTGTATTTTCTGAATGAAAATGGACTTGGACTCAGTTTTCCATAAAAGAAAAAGAAAAGGGAACTTGTTGATTGTTTCCTGGCCTGCTGGGATATTGTGTGTGTTACTAAAAGGTCATCTTAGTATTAAGAGGAATTGAGTTTGAAGACCAGGCCTTTCTGGTAGTTTCCATATGGTAGCAAAATATACTTTGACATTGCTGAGAGACTTAGATGAGATGTAATATAAACTCTGTGTCCAACATCTTTTATGGAATGTAAATATCACATTGTTTCCAATAGTTGAGAGAACCTCTTAATATGTCACATACATAACAGGCCAACTGGAATGGTCAGACTGAGATGGTTCTGTAAGATGAATTTAGTGCACACCAAAATATGTGGATTTCATGTCTTTGATTTTTTTTTTTTAAGCTTGTTTGCAAGAGAAGTTTTTCATTTTTGAACATATGGCAAGAGTATTCAAAGTGCATTCCTGATTACTAAAGAACACCACATTTATACATATGAGGCACATTATTTTGTTCACTGGAGCAAACTTTTAATGTTATTTCTTTCCCCATGGAAATATATTTGACCATTCGCAATTTAAAATGGGAATCTGTAATTTCCAGAATAAAAGTGATCTGATGAGCTCTTGCATTTCTTTGAGATATCAAATAACTGCTTCATTAAAACAATATTTTCAAGAACAGTCTGGGTCTTTGAAGTCAGAGTAGTTTTTAGAGTATAAAACTTGTAGTAGTGCTTTAAAAGAGTCCCCCTGACAATGAATTGCTAGCTATTTGCATCTAAAATGTATTTATTAGATTTGAGGCCTAATTATCAAAATAAGAATGTAGATGAAGGTTTTGCTTTTACATTGCCAAGAGTTCCCAAACTTCACATTTTATTACTCTGCATATCACTATTAACTTCTGGAACGGAAGCGTTATTTTGCATTTCACATTTAATGCTAGCTATTGAAAAGGGGGTTCCTGCTCATCTCTTGTTTTTCAGTGCTATGTATTTGGAGTACTGTGACAGTTTTAGGAAGAATCTTCCACTAGAAACTTAGATATTAACAAAAATTTGCAATTTGATAGCTTCCTTTTTAAAAATCCATCTTGATCTCCCTATCTAAATTTCAAAAAAAGTTCTGGGTTTAAGAGTTTGTGAGATAGCATTGCTTTTAATGTACATAGAGTGCTGCTATACATCTTGAAAAATATATGCCACCTTTGACTTGGTATACCTGATCTTTATACTTAATGCACTGAAACAGGAGTCACTCAATTTAGAACATAGCTTTGAGTGAAAGCTAGGATGACCATGTAATTATGGTTGGTTTGTGCTGTAAGTAACTATGTTATTGATCAGATTTTTTGTATGTAGTAAAAAAAGAAACAACAATCTTAAAATAATGTGGTGCAACTCATAAAAATCTAACTTGGCAGCTAATGTATTTATAAAACTGTATTTTTCAGTAAAATTACAAACATAACTTTTAATTATTAATCACCAGCGAACATACTTAAAGTTTACATTTTCCTACGTTTCATAAAGAGCACGGGTAAAGCAAGGGCCATATTTTATGGGATCTACCATGAATATCAATTATTTTAATATTAGAAATCCTTAATAGAAGTAATAAAGACGTCACAGCTCAACCCTGTTAAAAAAACTTTTTGAAAATAGCCTCATTACAGGTGTGCCTGTTTTTGCTGAAGTAAAGGAAATCCCTGAAATTATTACTCTTACAAAAGTGCAGAAATGTTTAATATTGTGATATTTAAATGTTCTAAATTACTAACTTTAGGCAATTAATTTGGCATATTGCACCACCACCAGTGCGGCATACCTATATTTTAAGATGTAAACTTAAGCAGGTGCTTAACTTAAGACAGGTTTCTTGAACTTGTCATTTGAAGTCCACCTCGTTTTTTTTAACATTTCATCACTAAAGGCACCTTTTAAAATAGGTCTGAGTGGTATCTTATATTTTTAGTCAGCTTCCTTTTACTATGAAATGAAAATAAACCCACTTTATAAAAACATTGCAATTTCACAACTTCATTTTTATCACCTGCCCCAGGTTGGTAAATCAGATGCAGGTGGTCCTCAGGCTACACTTTGAGAAACACCGCTCAGAAGGGAGTAAGGACTAAGGCTAGAGATTGAATGGAATTTATTGGAGCTTGCAGATTCTGTGACTGTTATTGAATCAATGGGTTTGGACTACCTCAAGGGCAGTCATCACAGACTGTGTCGAACTGTAGAGATTTCTATATTTTAAGTCATACCTGAAGAAAGCACTTTTTGAGTACAGCTTCACTCAACAGTCATATTGTGTTCATATTATTCCTTAGAAGGGAATTACAGGTCCTTGAAACTCCAGGACATCATTTTACAACTGTAAAGATACTCCCAGAAAATCCTCATGTATTAATGGGGTTTGTTTTCATTCCTGTTTTTCTTTCAAAGAAAAAGATAAGGTGAGAATTAAAGTAAGCATCAGTTATACAATGGAAATGCAAAAGAAGGCAAGTCAGTAAAGAATTCTATCTAAAAGTATATGTAAATAGAGAGAAGCTGGAAGAGAAGGGAATGAAAGGCTTAAAGGATTAAACATAGGCCATGAAGCATTGACACACCTACCAAAGTATAAACTTAATAAGTTGAAATATGTGAATCAGTTCAAGGATCTAGATAGTGAAATAGCTTCAGGTATAAAATATGAAGTAATAATAAGAATGAGTTGGATTTTATGAAACCTTAGAAAAATAAAAAAATATTGTAAAATATTTATTAAATAATTAAACCCAATAGTTAATGGCCTTTGGATGAAAAAAAAATAGGAATAAATAAGCTCCTGGAATGTAATAACTGAAAAGGACATGGAAGTTTGGATTTTATCTATGAATTATTTCATAGAAGGGAATAATAAAAGATCAATAACTTATTTCAAAGGAGAGATAAGAATGAGGAAAAAATTATTTAAAATAGCCGTATTTCTTAAATGTTTTTTATTGCGACGTATGATAAATACCTTTTATATACCAATCCACATATAAAAACTGAAACGAAAGTTTTCTGAAACAGTACTAAGAGCAGTGCCCTCTGATATTTTGTATTCCTGTCGACTTTTATAAATCTAATCTGTTCCAAACTATTTTACTAAAAAATAAATACAGGTATCATTCACTAAATTGATTTTCATGATTTACAGCTTGAAAAACACCAATCTGGAGTGCTTGCAAAAAATGGCCCCATCCCCGGATATTATGATTCAATGTTTCTGGGACAGGGCCTAGAAATCTGCATTTCAGCTACTATTGCAGGTGATTCTGAAGCAGGTGTGAGGTCCTCTGACATACTGAGAACTGGTATAAGGGACACATGGCTAAAGATTGAATGGGAGTCAGGCACTAAATGTGGGGTTAGAGTTCATTGGTTGCTGAGGTCTCTTCCAGCTTCAAGATTCCCTGGCAGTATTTCAGTCAACGTTTCCCGTACTGAGAGGACCCTCACTGCCCTCTGTAGATATTCCTGTAGTAGCAGGTATAGTATAAGGAGCAAAGGCTTCACAGACAAAGAGCCCAGGGTCGCACTCCTGCTGCCTCTATTGCTTACTAGCTGAGGGACTTGGAGCATGTATGTCGTTTCAGAATAATCTCCCATTATCCTATGTGCAAAAGGGCATATTAACATTTACCATGTAACAGAATGAGCGTCATAAAGATGATCATGTCTGTAATGACCCTTATCCACAGTCAGCATTCAATATACAGTTTAAGTTTGTATAGTTGCATTTCACTTCACCCCAGCTCCCACTAAGTTTGAAGTTTCTCAAAGCTATGCCTTTTAATTTTTTGTTTTCTCTAAAGTAACTCTCAACCCTGGTATCATGAAACACTGGTATGTTTTTAACTGGATGTGAAATGCTGGACAAGTAATTCGTTACTAGAGGAATTAATAAGAACAATCACAAGGAAAAAAAAAAATAGCCGGAGCATATGCCACAGTGTAGCACAGTGCGTCTTCAGGTTTGGAG